ATGCCTTGGAAAGGCAGTTTCTTCCTCTGCACCCTTTCCTGACATACCAAATGCTGCACCTCTGTAGTCCCCGGAGTACTTCCCTAGTTACTGGCCTCCAGCTAGACTGTACGCCTCAGCCTGGCAGCTGTTTCCGATCCACCTTACTGTCCATTTATCTAGTTTATATTTCATCAGTAGAACAGTGTCAAAAGACTTAAGTGTGATAGAGACAAAGAGCATCCACTGCTTTCCCTGCATCCACCAAAGCCATTGTGGAAGGCTATCAAGTTGGTCAAGTATGATTTCTCTTTCATACAAACATGCTGATTGCTCCCAGTTATCTATCTGTCCTTCACATGTGTGTGGAAATGGTTTCCAGGATTATGTGCTCCATCACATTTCTAAGGATCAAGGTGAAGCTGACTGACACGTGGTTCCCTAGATTCTCCTTCTTGACCTTCCTGAATATAGGAGTGACATTTTCTTTCTTCCAGTCCTCAGGGACATCCCCTTGTATGACTTAACACATTTTTTAGCATATAAAATATTGGGGGATGGGGTGGGGAGAGGTTTAAAATATTTGTGGTTTGCTCATTTGTTTTTTCCCCTCTGACATCTGTAATTATTTATAAACATTTCATTGGCTATTTGAACCCTTTTTATTATTATTTTTAAAGAGTAAGTTCAGAACAAACAATTGCACCTGAATAAATACTGCTTATAGAATTGCCCACTATGAAAACCTAAAAGGAAAGTTGTCTTTGTACTGCATTAAACATTTTTACTCTATTGGTACTAGGATCTGCTTAATAAGCAAATAGAACAAAACTAACAGTTGTCTTTATAACATAATTTTTTGACAGAACACAGTGACGAATAAAATCATCTCTTGTCCCTCAGAGCTAGTATGATCAATATGATCAATAAGAGCTATATGATCAATAACAAATGAAACACAGGAGCAGGAAAAGAGGGCGAAAAGTGAGAATCTCAAGTGCAGTTCAATTAGCTGCAATGCAGAGAAGGTTTTTAAGGTCATGAGCCTGATGCCTGCAAAGAACATTCCTCAGTGCCTTGTATCAGTGAATGACTGATCAACAAATGCCTCAGCCTTGGAAATCTTAACAGGAGATACTCTAACTCAGAGCTAGGTCTTTTAAATGGGAATTTACCTTTTATATCATCTCCCTACTCAAAAGAAAAGATAAAATAGATCAGACAGGACTGGCTGCAGTGATATTAAACTATTTCCAGAGGACGATGTTTTTCAAAACAGGAATTTTAAAACTCTTGCAGAAACCCATTTTATTCAGCATTTTCAATGTTTAGTGTTTTACAGCCTGTGTCCTTAGGATAGCTCTAAAATACTGTGCATTATTCATTGTTTGTCCAGGTTAAAACCACTTAGTTTTCCTACTGTGTACAAAGGTTGCTCAGGAGCACACCGTCGCATCAACAAAGGTCCCCTCAGGACAACCCATGAATAATGGAACAGAAAGCAAAGTTAGTCACCTTCCTGTCTGCATAAATCTATAAAAAGTACTTCAGAATGATAGATGATGGTGTTGGTGGATTGAATGTTGAACTACGTCTCTGCATTCAAGCACAGAGATGCCTTAAATAAATTATGTATCAAAAGAGAGACTCTAACTTCTAAAAAAGGGCTGAACAAAAACATATTCATGGCTTGGGCTGCCTTGTCCTATTATTCTACTGTTTAGAAATCAATAATATCAACAGTTTGTGAAAGGTCAAACAAGATGATGTGTCCATTGGTATGAGCAGTATTTCAACGTTATCTGTTCTGCAGCCTAAGAATGTCAGAAAAACAAAGTATTGCAATACCAATCTCATGGAGGTACAATGTTGTAATGCTGGTTGTGCACGCTAGGTGGGAATTAATTTTTCATCTAATGTCTTTGTTTCTAATTTGATGCTGACTAATATAAAAAGCTAAGATGCAAGCAGCATCTCCTACCTCCTACGTGACATCCCTCCTTCCCTGAAGGCTAGAAAACCTCAAAAACATTCTGAGAATATTCTGCCTTCTGAAACCAGGGTTTCAGGGACTGCAACCAGCTCTGCACTTCTTGAAGCACAGTGTAATGGTAATGCTTTCATCACCCTATTGCAAGAGAAGCCAGAAAACTAAGGTTAAGAGTTTAATGTGAAAAAGGAAGATGCTCTCCTTTTTCAAGGTTTGTTATTCTTCCTTTTATGCTCCCTGCTGTTTTCTGTCTTTTCTCCATCTGCATTTGATTCCTGTATTATTTTTCAGCTGTTTTGTGTGCACTGATAATAACATTGAGTAACTGAAATGCTGCTTTCAGAAGCTGACATTTTAGCTACTTTTGCTTTGCTCCTGCTACCACACATAGAAAGGGGCAAGAGCATGACAATGGAGGAATTGGAGAGGAAATAATCGTGTTTGTAAAGGTTCACCAAGCAGCACAGCACAAAGGAATTAACAAGATGTTTGTGGCAGCTCTTTAATCACTTCTCTACCATTGCAGAGACTCACTGCAAGGGAAAAGGTATCTCAAGAATGTAGTTCACTTGTACTACAGGTATGTTTGCCTTTCAGTGATAGCATGATTAAAAATAACAGCAGTCCTTAGATTTTATTTCCACTTAACAATAATGTCTTACATACACTCTGAGGGACCACACCTCTAAGGCTGTTTCAAGCATCTCCATGTTGACTGTCATATACCCCTTGAGAGGCCCTCTGGCACTAAAAATGTGCCACAAGAGTTTGTGTTTAACAAGTCCCTGATGACCTTGGCCCTGACCCAGACTTCCCCCATCACACCTTGGGATGCCACCATACAGCTCTAGGTGAGGAGCTGCTCCTGCTGCAGTCTCTCAGCAGCCACATTGATCCTAGTGGTCCTGATGTGAGAAACGGGAGAGAGGAGAGCTGGGTTTCAAACAGCTCCAGGCACTGGACGAAGCACCATCTGTCATTCTGCAATGCCAGGTGCATAGAATTACTGAGGAGTCATGCCACCCAAGCTGACACCAGTCACATATTTAGGGTCAGGCATTTCCTAGTGCTTAGAGAACATGGCTGAGGGTTATCAGAGGGCTACTAGGCAAAGCTGAGAGGCAGGGAATTTATTCTTTAGAGAGGTGGCATAAGCAGTGCAACAAGATTGCAGACAGTCCGTAAGACTTTAATGTATTTATATCAGTCAGCAGCAGTTGGTCACACAGCAGGAAGAGTTCACACTGCACCTATTTAAAGGGTAGCAGAGCTGTGACTCCAGCATAACAGCCCTAAGGATCTCTCCCCATAGGACTGTGCTGGCCAGAAATACTCCAGTGATCTAAGAACAGCTTGCTGTCTCTTTTCAGCACAGGCAGTATTAAACTTAAATCACTGGAGGCATTTGGATTATGAGCAACACCAAGAGACAAGATGAAACTAAACTATATGCTGGCAGTGATTTTAGACATAGTATATCTAGATGGACCAATATACAATTTAAGTACAAAAGAGCTATAGAACATTGTACTTCTGAGTATCTGTTGAGATGGCAAAAAAACATTAATGCCATAAATCTTATAAAAATGGGAGTTTACATATATCCATATATATATGTATACACACCCATATATATATATATACACCCACATATAACCATTCAGGATCCAATTCTCTTTTTACCCTAACAGATACTGAGGGGATTATGTCAGCAGAAAGCACTGTTTACGAGGTCATGCAAATGTTTTCTGACATTTTTTTCTATTACAAAATACTTATTCAAAGGGAGTAAGTCCCTCAGCTTTACTTTTGAATGTTGGGTGATCCTTGATAAGGTTTTTCAGATGAGTAAAATGAGCTGGGGCCAGGGCTCTTCACGTGTGAAAGTCTATGAGCCCCAGAAGTGTGGCCTTTGATGACACAAGCAGAAGTGTTTCAACAGAAATATCTGTGCCATTTTTGTCACCATTTCCCCTCCCTGAATAAGTTGTGCACTTGGGTAAGAAAACATACAAACAAGGAAATGTACTTCTATTGCTGACTACTGTAAAACTGGTTCTCAGCTCATCAAAATCAACTCCACTCAGGATGAAAGAAATGTTATCCAGCACAGGAATATCCAAACACAGAAGCTGAGATCACATACTCAGTGATTCTCCATTGCTTCATACCTACTGAGGAGTTTGCAGTCTTGTTTGAGGGTGTAAAATCTCTGCTCTGACATCCTGGGGTCTTTTAATACCACTTGTGTAAATCAGCTTTGGTCACATAGAGAACACTATAAAGAATCAAGAGAAGTTGCCTGAGAAGTTCAGTTCCAGCCCTATAGGTGTTGGAGCTCTGCCACCAAGCAGATTTGCTGGAACAGTTCTACTGAACCTTCTTCACATACATGCAGTCAGATCATCTGATGAGCATACAGCTGCAGCAGATGGGCTCTCCCATCAGAAAAACATGTCCTGGAGGAATACTGGCAAGATGCTTCTCAGCACCATGTCTCCACTTCTCCCTGCTGAAATGCAGTTTCCTCTTCTTGCTGCCATCCCAGCCTGGTGCTAAGCCAGGTTTTCTTGCAGGGCTACCTCTCAGCCGTACTGCTACCCTGGTTCAGCTCACTGAATAAAAATTAAAAGCAGCATTGCTGCAAGGGCAAGGTGAAGAATCAACAACAGGTGGTGGGGGAAAGCATGCTGCCACTTTTAGTGGCTGACAATGTTTAAATCCGCTTAAACATCTTATCAGATCACAGCTGGAGACTGTAACAATCCTTGGAACTGCACTAACAGAAGTTTCATTATTTGCTTTACTATTTGCAGTTAAGGGAGAAAAGAGGGCCATGGACAAAGGCCTCTTTTCCCCTCAAGCCAATGATAACAAATAGCTTAAAAAGCATGAAGAACAAAGGAAGAGATATGTTTAATATGAAAATACTAAAAAACATTTTTCTCCTACATTGTTCTTCATCTCTACATCTGACAGCCATTATTAATTACTTTTTTAATAAAAACTTTTTTTTTTTAAAAAGTAATTCAAGTGTTCCTCTGCTGTATTACAATTTAAACTGAGTAGTCATACAGAAAAACATTTCTTTCATCATGTATATCTAGTGAAATGCAAACAGCAAATAAGCAGCCACATACAAATAAGGTTCCTTTCAGCATTAACATTTAAAGTTTATATTAGTTACACAGTGAGCAGGAAGTTTTTATAAAGTATGAGGTTTTATTGACAATGCCTGTTTGAAAGCAGATATGTATTACAATATGTATTGTTCATCTATATTCTCAATTACAGCTTCGAATGAAGAGACAGCTAACAGCATCCTCCAAAAGGCAGATACATACTCCTGGGCTTCTACTAAAGCACAAATCACTGCATGCACAGTTCAGCTTTGAAGCCTTACCATAAAAGATACGAAAAGATTTAGGATGAGTTTCAAAAAGCATATTGGCTTCCTTTCAAAACAGCCCAGAAAGTTGCATCTTACGATTTTTGTTTTATGTTATTGTAATTTAGTTAGCGTATGGAAGTTTTTGGTTTTTCTTAGATTACATTCAGCTTTTGAGAAATCATGGAATTATTTGTGAAGTTGCCACAAGCAAGCAGTTAATTTCCTTCTAATTTATGAAGCAAATAATCAAGGCAATTGTAAAAGTTTTGTTTCCAAGCCCATGTCTTCTGTCATTGTAGGTGGCCAGAACAAGTTCTTTAGAAAAGTGGACTAGAACTGGGTCAGGATATTCTGTAAGCCAGCATCTTGGTGTCTCAAAGAAATATTGCTCATGGTTTCAGAAAGCAGAAACCCAGAAGAAATAAAACAGTGGAAAAAGAATTCAGTGTCATTAATAGCATTTACACACATAATTAAACTATAAATATGTTTAAAGTTATAGTGTACCAGTAAACAGTTCATAATCTAACATAAAAGGATTTTTAGTCTTACTATTCCAGGATACAAAAAACCCTACACTGGTAAATTTAGCTATTTGGTTTCAGCTTTGGGTTCAGCTTTGAACTATGTAGACTTTCTGGCACCACTGACTGAAATCCTGTTAAAATTGACTCATCCTTCATTTTCCTGAGAGTGCTAAATTGAGCGTATTTATGTTTGGACCTTTTGGACCCAGACCTTGCTCTAAGTATACATCAAATGACAGATTTCTATAATGCAGAGACCCTCAAATGACACATTAAACATATTTGTCCAAGCTCCTCCTGCAATTAGGAAGATCTATGAATAGCACAGGGTGGTATATCTCTTAATTACTGATCCACTCAAAGTATCATATGCATTTCACAAGTTTTCAGTGCCTAGAAATATTTTGTTGCATGACATGCTTGTGTGCTACCTTCAGTTTTAAAAAGCAAGTATTTTATGTATGGAAAACTATATTCCTGTTTTCTATTTGAGCTCTGAAATACCCCTTTGGTTAGTCAAAGTGCTAGCCTCAGCTTTTTGATAGCAAAAACCTGAACCAATCACACCAGGAAGTTGTATAAGGCAACAAGGCTGGTACCTGGCAATCTGTATGGAAGCCAAGTGACAAGTCAATGCAAACAAACTTTGACAGAAAGCAGCATACTTAGGCTGGCATAGGAATCAGGATCTCCAGCAGTGACCATATGAAATCTGACTAAATATATACCTTAACTGGCTCCTTTAGGGAACATAGTTCTGCACAGATCCATACTAACTGCTCATTAAATCCATGGCTCTGCATGTAATTTGGCTGTGAGATCTACAGAGCTAAGGGCAACAGTGACACCCCCATTCCAAATACTCATCCAGTTGTGAACTGCGATTGTGGGTATACAAGCAGCTGACTTGATCATGATTTACCAAAGTGGAATGTCTTTCCCTCATTGCTTCCCCACTCCTCTTTCTCTGCTCCTCTTTAATGCCCAGCTGTGTGGCTCCACTCCTGCACTAGCTCTGACATTTGTCTGAGCTTTTTGGGAACCCACCAGAAAATTACTTTTTTTTCTTTTTTGTGGACTAGTTTTCTCTCAGGTTGGTGAATTAAATGAGATTGTGCAGATTTCAGTGAGTGAGGAGAATAATGGTGGGCAAAAGAGTTCTTTTGGCAGCAGAAAACAACGAGATCAGTTCACCCTGAATGTAAAACTGAATGTCGGTCTTCAGTGAATTCTGCTTCTTAATCCTTTGGAACAGGTACTAGATATACTTGCAAACACCTTTGACAGCTCTACTGTGATCAGGCACCACAGAATACCTCAAAATTGGTTCCAAATTTCTACACAAAGTGTAAAATTATATTGATGCAGTGATAAATATGTTGTCAAATAGACTTGAATACAAAGGGGTATTAAAAAGACAGACCTTGAAAGAATACCATTAACCAAAAGCAATGGATCAAAAATTGTAATAATGTAATTATTTCTGACAGCAGAAGCATCTTTGCTTATTATTAAGACAGAGGGCATAAATTGGGCATTCAATTATGTTTATAAAGGAAGATTATTGTACCTTAAGTACTGTATGAATTTATGTATTAATTCTGCACTCATATTGCTGAGTATCTGAAATGATGCTATGAAATTGGTGAAAATACTCTGAAATTTTTATTCCTATAAATTAAAACTTAACCTGGACTTAAGTACTTGCTTCTTGAAGGCTTAGCTCTGGACAAACTAAATTAAACAGAATTCTTTGTGCTAAAGATTCAGATGCTTCCCGTGGGCCCCCCCCCCCCCCCCCTTTCTTTTCATCAGGCAGACAGACATGAAGCTAGTAGTCACTTGAAAAGAGGACAACAGTGGACTGCAGTGGAACCTTCATAAACCACTGAGAAAACTCCCACTAAATTTAAACCCAAAATAAGCATTAGGACTTTCCTAAAACCTGTAAATGTTTACCGGGGGAATTTTGTCAGGCAGTCCTTACCATAAAGGGGGAAATTCACCTGTCTAAACACAGGTGTCTAGTGCCATTAGAGAAGTCTATGTATAGTCTCTGTGAGCGCAGGCATTTCCATGGGTCCCTAAACATGACTGCCAACCCCATGTATGACTTTACTACCCCCGGGCTTCTCAAAGGGCACCGGGCATCTGTGCTGAGGCAGCTGAATCCCACCCAGAGTGTCTACCATGCTATTCAGGACAACTTAAAATTCTTCTTCAAGGAGGCTCTGGAGTGAAAAAGGTAGCTATTGCTAAATATTAGTTTTATCCCATAAACAAAACATGCTTAAAGGCAGCTGCCCTACCCTCTTGTGTAGAAAAACTTCATCAATTTTAATGTATTTAAACGTACTTTTGAGTCTTTGGGTTTGTATTTTCTGTCAATAGCCTTAAAAACTATGACTCCTATGACTCCTATTGTGTAAGAAAACAGAGCCTTTGATAATAACCAGTTCCACTTTAGGGTAGTGACGCACTAAGCATTTATGTGAAATAAGCATAAGCAACAGAGAGCGTGAAATTACTCATTGTATGGTGAGTTCAGGTACAGAATTAAATGACATCAGACAGGCAGCCTGTAAACTTCTGCTGCATGTTTGGGTCTGAAGGAAGAAGGAAGAGGAATTTCTGACAATTTCCAAGTCTAGAAGTCCAGGAAATGTGCACAGTCCTGCCTTCTCCCCTAAGTAGGGAATATATTGATGCTTGGTCTGTAGTCCCTGTTAAACAACTATAATTAACTCCAGTAAGGCTTATTTCCCAATCAGCTATGACCCTATTCACAATTGCTTTGAATCAAATCATACTTTTAGAGAAGTTGCTTGTGCAAACCACCACAAAACATCACATTTTTGCACCCCCTTGCACTAGTGGAAATGACAAAGCCAAGAAGCCACACAGAACTGCACTGCACACTTGAGTCCTTTAGAGGGGACAAACTTATTACAGTTCTATTTATTTAGAAATCTAAATAAATGTGGCAACAGATTTCCACCTTTTGGTCCCCCTGTCAGGAAGAAACAGTATCATTAGATGCAAGTACATAGCACACAGAGTTTGTGGAAGGCATCTGAAGGGTCTGTAAGCATCTGAAGGGTGGTGAAGACAAGTACCTCAGGACAGTGGCTCCCTCTGTGAACTGATGAAGGCTGTTTCAAAATGCATTTCATCTATTATTCCCTGAAGGATGAATTTCCATGTGGCATGTTCTGCAGGTGGTATTTTGTAGTCATAAAATATACCCCCACAACACTTTGACAGGTGCCAAAGTCAGCTCCACCATCACCTCCCATTCAATCTATCCACACTTGCCCCAACTAACAGAAACAGGCAGAGGTAGGTTCACAAATCTGATGAGTTAGTAGTTGTGAAAGTCCTGCCTGAAATCTCATTGTTGAAATAAGACACTTCCGGACCAAAGATTCCACAAAGGAAATGCAAAGTTTTTGAAATGAAAGATCTATTCCAGTCACTGGAAATAACTGAGACTGTATTTAAGAATGTCATTTCTCTGATCATGGCCTTCAGTGAATTGAAACAGGATTTTCTTGGATTGTCCTAAATTAAAAAGAAATGGGAAAGCTCTGCCTGATATAAAAATTATGTAATTTTAAACATTTATACCTTACTTAAAAACAGTTCTCAGTGTCAGGAGAGAAAGGAGGTGTTAGCACTTAGCAATAACTATTTTATATCTCTGCTAGTGTAGCATTTGCTAACATAGGAATAGGAGTTTTCAAAATCACATATTTCACGGAACTTGTCACTACTGAGCAAGAAGAGTTGACCTTTGGGTGTTACCAAAGTGCAAATACATGTAATGCAACAGCAGAAGAGCACCTGTACCCTGCACACTTTGAAAAAGCAGGGAGAGTCAAGCAGAAAGGTGCTTAATGCCATTCCCCTCTTGTCATAGCAAATAATTTGAATTTGATAATTTTGAAAGGTCTGAAAGTTTCCCTTGCCCTTCATTTTCACTAGGCCACCAACTGAAGAAGGAGGAAGAAGCAGAAAGCTGGGGTCTTCAAGCCATGTTACCTGCTGTGAGAGATGCTCTCTTCTGAAACACACTGCAACAACATTTTGCTCTTAGGTGTACCAAAATGCCCAAACTAGGAAAACAATTTGTTATAAATTTTATCAAACTGATAAATTATCATTTGCAACTCTCTATGATTTTTCCAGACATGCATCTCAAGCATGTTTCCTTGGAAACAGAAACGAAGAAACCAAACGAACCCAAACTGTCATAGTGCATCACTTTCTTTTTGTTAGTGTACAAAATTCCTTCTCATTAACACTTGTGCTATAAAACTTGTTATGCGTGGATTCCGAATACCTGTTAAGCCACCAAAATAGGCATTTTTTAAGCCAAAAGATGTAGAGATAAAATGTTAAAACCCCCCAAATTTCTACCCTAAAAATCCTGAGCTTCATGAAGAGCTTCCAGACAACTTGTGTGATCTTTAAAAGTGTGCTGGCCACTTTATTAGATGACATCCTGGCTCCCAGCCCTTCAGCCAGCATGAACACCTTGTGAATAATCATTTCAAGCTGGAAATTCAACCTTCGCTATCCTTGTAAGAACACAGGTATTCTAATTTACTTGCAAGGGACTTTAGTACCATTACTTACTACTATGAAGAACTGACAGTATTATTAGATAAATAACAGAAAATGAGGCCAAAAGAGTTCAGACACTCCATTCTCTTCCTCTTCCACACAATGACCTTTCTTGCACAGATTCCCATTCAGTATTTTCCCCATATAAGCTTGTCTCCTTTACAACAATCTTTAACTTTCTACTACATACCCCACACAATACTTTTCCCAGTGTCTCCCCGTAACACTTCCTTTACTTTCCTTCCTTCTCTTTATCAACTTAATTCCTTTTCTTCCTCTGCACATTCTTTATCTCGGCCCATCTGTCTCCCTTCACATCCTCCCTACCATTCCAAACTTTCTCCAAACCCGCTTCCTGCCTCCCTCACTTTGTTTCAGTGCACTGTTTCCGCACTTCTAATAGATACCCAACAGTCTTTCCCTTAATTTCACTCACTTTCTTTCTTGAAGTGCACACACCAACACCCTATAGTCCTTCATCACTTCACAATCCTGCAACATCCTGTTCCTGTTAATACATTCATAGAATCATAGAATGGTTTGGGTCAGAAGGGACTTTAAAGATCATCTAGTCCTAACTCACCTGCCATGGGCAGGAACACCTTCCACTAGACCAGGCTGCTCCAAGCCCCGTCCAGCACTGCCTTGCATGCTGCCAGGGATGGGGCAGCTGCAACTTCTCTGGGCAACCTGCTCCAGTGCCTCAGCACCCTCATAGAGAACAGCTTCTTCCTTATGTCTAATTTACTTTTTACCTTCAGCCTAGATTGCTCTTGCCTCCTCAGCAGCCTGTTCTAGTAAAGTTTTGATCCACAGTATAACAGATTACTGAATAGATTACTCAATAGCTGAAATGCTAAAATAATCACCTCTTTCTCTTTAATTACAACATATTTTCTGTATTCATAAAAAGACCTGATCATGTTTTATGGGCAGGATAGCAAAAAAACCCAAGCAACTGGGTGATCCCCATCTGCATTTGAGGAATGAGGTTTCCTAAGTGAACAACAAAAATAGTATCTAAAATAAGACCATCCTAACCCCATCTGAAATGATTCTAATACACAAAAAAGAGCTAAACTCATGAACTAAACTGCAGCTATATCCCTCCAACACCTTTTAAAACATTCTTGGCATGAAAAATCTCAAGGGGGTGGAGAGAGGGGAAACTGAGTGACACACAGTTAATGCTGGCCTTTTTCCAGTCACTAGCACATCGCAAGTCTCTGTGTCTACTTCTAGCAATTGTCAAATATGGGACAAAGGACATAATGGGTTTCAGTCTCTTTTAAAGTCAACTGTTTCAAAGAGCATTAGATAAATAAAGTGTTATGTTAGCACAGCCCACTCTTTCCACACCCAAAGGATGGTTGGGATAGAACTGCCTTTTAAGTGAACCACTGGTTCTCAAAATGGATTTCAACACACATTAGAAAACCAGACTGTGGCTTTAAGAGCAATCCTAGTTAAATGTAATTACAAATCTATCTGCCCTGAGGACAAGAGGGCTCACCCAATCCTTTCTAAGTCACAATGTCCCCTCTGCTCCTCTTTTTTTGCCAAACAAAGGGTAGAAATTTTGTTGCAGCATGCACAATTACAATCAGTCCTGCAGTGGCTCAGCTGCATTGGTTACTGCACTCCAGGGAATCAGCCAACATTTAATTTCTTGCCCACACTACTCACTCTCAGAGATGAATATTGTGGGTATAACCTTTAAATTCTTGGATCTCACCCATGCTTGTAAGTTGTATGTGTAGAGGTTTAATTGGTGTTCTCATGCAACCTTACACCTCTTCAAAATTCCAGGATGCTTTTAAGAGCTTAGTCTCAACCTACAAGATGGCACTGCTTGCAAAGACATCTTAGGTGCTAGAGGTAATGACACTGCTTTTCCTATATTCCCATCAGAATACCCTTCCATTTGTGCTAATTATACCTTATCTTCATTAATTAATTGTTCCAAAGGTCAAAGTCTACAATGAAGATGATGAGTTTTCTCATAAAATTATCCCCAAGATACAGGTCTAAGGCTATAAAATGGCTCCAGACCAAAACTATTGACTTTTTATGCAGAATAAGCTGATGCAATAAGGAATATCAGAAAGCTGTTTAATCAGGAAAAGGGAACAGAAAATACAAATTCACAGTAAGGGGAATGGTGGTTCTCAGGTGCAAGTATTTACCACACAGTTTTCCTAGAGAACATCAAAGGTGAGATTTTAGGGAAGGCTGAAGCACTGAATTAGCTGACAGTGTATAAACACTGTCTCTTACCTCTTCACTCTCAGCACTCTGACATCGACGCAAAGTATTTAAGAGCTTGCCTTGCAGACTGATGAGCAGCACTAAAAGGCAGGCAAAGGTCTATTACCCCATCTCCCCTTAATGGGTCTGTGGTGCCTGGCAGTAATGCACTGCACAGATGGTGTATGGATGATGCATAGACAACAATAGCTCCTCGATTTCATTACCCTGTGACACCCTGTTAGATACATCTTTGATGGACAAAGAATTCCCATTCATAATTACTCTCTGAGAGTCAAGAGTTTTAATTTCAAAACTAATTGCTATGAGTTATATGAATATATGTTTTACGTCACACCATAATTTAGTTGCCACAGAGGTGTCTAACTGCAATATACCATCTGGTTTATAATGGATCACAAACTAACATGAATCATATATGATCTGGAATCAATCAGAAACGATGGGGGGGCTTATGTGATTATTTTGTCATTCTGTCCTTCTGTCCATCAGCACATGTCTCTTACAAATTTTGAAGCCTTTGCCAGTTTGACAAGTTGAGTGGAAAACTGGGATATAAGCCTCAAAGATACTATATTCTTTGACATTTCATGATAATTCAGAAAGAAGTGGAAGAGACACCCCAATTAGTCTCTCCACTAATTAATGTTGCCACTAATTCCAGTTTTACTTGAGCCTCTTACTAATTTGGAAAGACTAATGATACGTCTCTGACTGGCAGCTCTGCACACGGAAGCCAGCCCAGCATACATGCAGGAAGAGAAAACTACAGTTGACTTTCGCAGGAGAGAGATGCAGAAAGCTCACTGGAAGGATACAGGGAGAAAGAACATCCCTCCCTAGGCAACCAGGCCTCCCCCATCATTGTCTTTAAGAAACAGTAAGTTACTCATAGGAAGAAGACACCGAGCTGCTTTTGCAAGCCTGTTTTCCCAAAGCTGAATAGAAGTTATTACATGTCTTTGTATCTTACAGCTGACAAAATTTTTTATTTCCAAGCCAACACATTCACCCTCAAAACAGCCCTGTCTGTAATCCTAGCAGTAGCCCTCAGTATTTTTAAAAATTATCTAAAACATGACTGACAAGCAGTAAGAGGATCCCAAAGAAGCTGTGGCTGCCCCATCATTGGAGTTGCTCAAGGCCAGGCTGGATGGGGCTTTGATCAACCTGGTATAGTGGAAGGTGTCCCTGTGCGTGGAGAGGGGTTGGAACTGGATGAGCTTTAAGGTCCTCTCCAACCCAAATCATTCCGTGATTCTATGAATCATAGAATCAAAGGCTCATAGAATAGTTAGGGTTGGAAAGGACCTTAAGATCATCTAGTTCTAACCCCCCCACCATAGGCAGGGACACCTCACACTAATCCATGTCACCCAAGGCTCTGTCCAACCTGGCCTTGAAGACCGCCAGCAATGGAGCATTCACAACTTCTTTGGGCAACCCATTCCAGTGCCTCACCACCCTAACAGTAAAGAACTTCCTCCTTATATCCATCTAAACTTCCCGTTTTAAGTTTGAACCCGCTACCCCTAGTCCTATCACTACAGTCCCTAATAAAGAGTCCCTCCCCAGCATCCTTATAGGCCCCCTTCAGATACTGGAAGGCTGTTATGAGGTCTCCACGCAGCCTTCTCTTCTCCACACTGAACAGCTCCAACTTTCTCAGCCTATCTTCATACAGGAGGTGCTCCAGTCCCCTGATCATCCTCATGGCCTCCTCTGGACTTGTTCCAACAGTTCCATGTCCTTTTTATGTTGAGGACCCCAGAACTGCACACAGTACTCCAAGAGATCTCACAAGAGCAGAATTCGGGGGCAGGATCACCTCCTTTGACCTGCTGGTCACGCTCCTTTTGATGCAGCCCAGGATATGGCTGGATTTCTGGGCCAACCAGAATGAACAGGAATACTATGTTGAAGGAGTGTGTAGTGATGCAGGACTATAGGGCATTGGTGTATACATTTCATGAAAGTGAGTGAATGGGTTCAAGTCTTTCCTGGTTGACTCCTTCCACACATACTGTAACCTTGCAAGTTGCCTGACACGGCAGGCTTCGAATCTTGCACCAGTTCCTCACCGCTCCCCCAGTGTGCAGCAAGTGGCACGCTGTCTCACCTAGAACCACGTTCCTGCTTCTTCTGAACACCGAGCAGAGCTCTCATTGCAGCTTCCCCTGATTTCTGATTTCATTTAGCCCTTCTGACTCATTTTACACCCACACCCCAATTAGAATTTCCGTTTAAAACCTCGCTACTGTCAGGTACTACCGGCACTGCACGTTTCTCCGAAAATCCGCCGATTTACACCTTTGCATAATGCCTACTTCCCTGTTCCACACAGCGAGCACCTCCGTTCCCAGCAGGGTTATCTGGCCGGGGACACTTGCTGCTCGCAGGGAGCGGCGCTGGGATCGCGTAACGCAGTGCCGAGGCCGTTTCTGAGCACTCCTCCTTGCCAGGGACGCGTCCCCGCCCGGCTCGCCCTGCCCGCGACCGCTGCCGGCGCTGGCAGCCGCGTCCCGCAGCCCCACAGCCAGGCCCTGTCCCGCCGGCCGCACCCTCTCCCCGCAGCGCTGAGGCCTCCTGCCACCCCTTCCCCGCAGACCGGCGCGATCCCGGCCAGCCCTGCCGGGGCTGCTCCGCTCTCCAACTACGACGCCCTGGTCCCTCCGTGTCTTCCTGCCGGACAGAACACAACCAGCCCCGCCCGGCCCACCGCACCCTTCGCCCCCCGGGACGTCCCGGCAGGGAGGAGCCGCCCGCCCCGCTCCGCCCCACGCAGGGAGCTCCGGGCGGAGCAGCGCGATTTCGCTGCCGAGCGGGATTGCCCGGAGCCGCCTCCTCCTCCCCGCTCCCCCCGCGGCAGCGGCGGCAGGACCCAGGTGAGAGCGGGGCGGTGCTAGACGCCGGTGAGGGAGGGTGCGTCCGGCTGCCGCCGCTCCCGATCGCGAGGGAGGGGTCGGGCGGAGGGAGGCTGGGCTCAACTTGACAGGAGGGAGGGCGGGAGCGAGGGAAGAACGCGCCGGTGGTTGCGCTCGCCGGGCGCGGGTGAGTGAGGGAGGCAGGGAAGGAGCAGGGGAGCGGGCGGGCGGCGGCTGGCGTGGGGAGGGTAGCGGGTGGCCGAAGCGCGGCGCGTCCCTGGCGGATGGCGGGCGGCTGGAAAGGGGAGGCGGTGCTCGGCCGCGCCCCGGTAACGAGGAGAGGCGGAGACACCGGGCGATCCCCGGCTCCGCTCCGGGGGCTTGCAGCGGCGTCTGTTCCCTCGCGGCCCGGAAGAAAGTTTGGGGGATGCCGGTGAGGTGAGCGCTGCCCCTGCCCCTCCGCCGCAGAGCCCGGTCGCCAGCCGGAGGTCTCCGCGCTGCCGCCGCCGCCTTCGCTCAGCGCCCGGTCGCAGACAAAGCCGCCGCCCCACCTGCCGCCCTGGCCCCGCTGCAGGGCCACCGAGAGGCACCGCGACGGCTGCGCTGCCAGAGACGGGCCTGGGCCGAGACGGGGCCCGCTGAGAGATGGCAGACTTATTTTTAGATGTGACTCCCATCACAATGCGTTGTAAAATTAGCACAGTTCTTATTTAAGGAGTGGGAAAGAAAGTGGTTCTGGAGGCCTCGTGGTGTTTGTGGGGGTTTAAAGCTGTTTTTCCAGGAAAAAAATAATACGTAGTTTCAGTGGTACAAGCAACAGTGAGGCAGTTAATATCCACAGGTGAACACAGGATGCTTTTGCTGTATCTTCCTTAAGGTCACCTCTTAAGCACATGAACAACGATATTCATGGCTTTGTCCTCCACAGTGTGTCTTCAGCATGGGGCGCAAGGTCTAATGTGGTGGCACACGTGATTCATGCCACACTTCTTACAGGGTGACTCGAGCTTTTTTGTCTGGTGTTTCCTTCCTTTTCTGTCTTGTCAAATCTCTGGAACACCTGCAATATGCGGGTGATGCAGGTTGAAGGAGTGACAACAAGGTGCAAGGGTCAGTACTGGTTATTATTTTGTAAATTAATCTTTTGGTTTTTTTAGCTACTGTATTGGCTGATACGGCATATCATGTGCATATTGTGTAGTTTGCATGAATGATCTTGTCATGATTGCTCATGAAGGAGAATTCTGGTTTTCATTATAAACCCACTGCAAATGTACGGGGGACTTGTGTAAATGAAAAATGAGAAGTGTATTTCCAATAGGGAAAGGAATTTTAAGAAAAGAACATCAAATCACAGAGTATTTGAAATTTGAAAGGCGCTCTGAATGTCATCTAGTCCTGCCCCCACACCCAAAACAAGTCCAGTTGGATAAGGTTTCTCAGACCTTCTCCAGGTGAGTTCTGAGCATCTCTGAGGGTGGAGATGCCACAGTCCCTGTGGTTGTGGTGGTGCCAGTGTCTGCCTGCCTTTGTGGTGTATTTATTTTCTTTTCTTAATCTACTGGCAATTTCCTGTGTTGCAATTTGTGTTTCCTCACATCCTGCCACTGTGCACCTCGCATCCATCTGTGGGTGACTGTAGTAATGAGCATCTGTAGTTCTAGAAGGTAGTAGAAACCATGCTAGTGTTTTGGACCAAAGGGCTGATTGCTAGGTTTTATTCTCATAAATTGTAAAATTATTCTTCCCAAGCATTTGCTTAACATTTCCTGTTTACTGGGATGTGGTTAATAGCAGATTAGCATATTAATTTAAAATGCATAAACTCCTTATGAACACTGTCTGTTGTTTTATTTTCAAAATCAAATAAATGCCAGATGATTTACCCATCAATGTTTGTCCACTGGCCTTGTGTTCCTTATCCTAAATTTGAGAGTTTGCTCCCAACTTTTCCTAGAGTCCTTTCTCAATTAACAGTGTCATATAGTCTCTTGGAATGACAAAGAGTCTACTCTTTTTAATAGACAGCAAGCTTTTTGGCTTTAATCTTGAAATAGATTTTCCTTGGGAAGGGATGTGCCTCGAACAGTACAGTACAACCTGTTATTACTGGGAAGTTGCCTTTGTAATGTACAGGCATTGTTTAGTGCTCTGTAGAAGCCTTGGCTGATATTTATAATGCAGTTGATGTGGTAAATGATGTGGGCATCTTTTTTCTTTATTCAGGAGGGGGAAATAAAATAAGTACTTATGCTGTGCAGAATAAAAATCTGCATGTTCTCCATCGTGACACATGACTGCCAAAACCACTTGTTTCTTAATTTATGTAAATTCTTGGACAGTGCTGATATTTCGAAAGCTGGAGAAGATCTTTGTAATGTGATTCATAGGATTCGGACATGTCTGGGTAGAATTTCAAAACATTAGTATGATGCTGCTTAATAGCAAATGTTTCTGAGTAGCTCATGCTTTCCATTAGAGCTATATCAAATAATTTACTAGAAGCCTTTTGAATGGCTGACTCCACTGAATTTGATGATATTTACAATCATTTGATAAATAATTTATCTTACTTCTCCAGATAGCATCTGCCATTGTATAATGATGGGAACACCTGACAGTTATGCTTGTATTAATTGTAGTGAACTTCCACTCAGGAAGATATCAAATGTATGAGGGGGGTTGTTGTTGGTTTTTACTATTTTATTTTAGTCCTGTAATGCCTATGTGAGTCTTGGATATTCTTGACATGTATAAGCCTCTTCTGCAGGTTCAGTGAACTCTAGATTATATATCTGAGATATTAAATTTTGCCACCATTAATATTCCAGGGCTTTTAAAATTATATTTTCCATTTCAGAAGTGGGCTATGTTTTTCCCAGTCTGTACTAATGTTCTGTTAGCAAGTCATTATTGTAAAATAAATAAACTAGTGGTAAAATAAATAAATTAATGACACATTACATTACATTTTCATACAACAAAACTTGTTTTTGTGGGGGGGTATAGAGCTTGGTTTGATTTGACAGCATTTGAGACTGATTTGCATAGTTGCTAAAACAGTTTATTTTGGACTGTTAAGATCAAAATCTTGGAAGGGGAGATCATCATAAGTCTGCTAGCAGACCATTATAGCAGTGATTCATATAATAAATTTCAGTCTGAATTTGGACACGAACATGAAACTGGGAATGCACTTGTTAGACTCATGAATGGTTTGCTTATTGTAGTGTGTACAGAAATGCT